TTCTTCCTGCTTGTATGGTCACCTCTGTAGGTAGCAGTGCTGTTCCTGCAGCTCTGCAGCACTGGTGTTGTTAATGTCTTTCCCCTGTAAAAACGCTTTTCTAAACCCTTTATAGCAAACTGGCTGGCCACAGAAGCAATTGTCAAAGTGCAACAAACTGCATGTGTATCTTCCAGAGGCTTGGGCAGCTGTAATTTGTCACTTGTTTATAGCTGCTTTATCAGGGTGCTAAACACCTTCTGAGCTTTTGTGGAAGCATTTTTTGACAAATAGGGCAAGTTAGCACAGCGCTCTAACAGTGTTGCAAAACTCGCATTTCTAATGTTTCTTTCACTACTAGGGATTCCTCAATTATTTAATTTCAATATTTTAAGAGACCATTTCTCTTGTTGCTTTTCTTCCTTTTTGTTTTATTATGGGAAGAAGGTAAGTTCTTTTTGAAGATCTCACTAACCTTTAAATCTCTCTCTTTTTTTTTTTTTTTTTTTTTTAAGCAGTGTATGGATTCACCTAAGAGAGTGGGGATCTACAGCATCTATACATGGTGGCCCATCCAATGTAGGACGTGGCTTAACATTCTACTTTTCACGTTAGCTTTAGTGAAATTCTCAGATCTCAGCTGGAAAGAAATGATGTATCGGTTGCTATTGTTGCAAATATCTTCATCCTACCTTCTTCATTTTCTCCTTCCTACTCTCAGGGTTTTTTTTCAATGTTATTGACTAATACATTACTTCTGATTGTATTTGCATCACCTTTAGACCTGATGTCCAATTCTCCTTACATGCTTTTCCTAAACTAAATAAGGAAGAGCTGCGCTTAGTCTGCAGCCAAAATTGAGTAACTGACATAGTGATGTCATATTTCCACTTATGTTTGTTGGAGGGTGGAAACTCGTATTTCTTTTTGTTGTAGCTTCGGGCCACAGCGGTTTTTTATTTCTCGTATTTATGCTGTTTTATCATAACCAGTTAACTTTGTCTCTTTCTTTAATGGGATAAATTAAAAATGCTAGTTTAAAGCTTTAGAATATTAAATATTTAATCACTATTTTTTTTGTTAGTTCAGTTTGAAATTAATGCAGAAACTTTTTACAATAGGAGACTTTTGGATATTGTTCAAGTAGTGTTGTTTAGAGAAAGATCTGTTGTTTTTATAAAGATTTGTCTGTCTTATGACTCACAATTTTTAGTTAAGATTTCCAAGAGCATAAAATGTCAAAATTTCACTCAATTTATACGAAGATGCTTCTGAAATATGTGCCCACTGGTATATTATGAGGAATATTAAATTTATTGACAGCAGAGGATGTATATAGCACATTGACTGTGATTTCAAAGTGTTTAATCTAGTCTGTAGTTTATGTGCACTTCATGTTCATGTCAGACTAGCAAGGTGGATTCAGTAGAAGAGGATAACTCACTCTGACAGTTACTTATTACAGTCCAGGACTGGTGGCCCAGCTTCCACATGGAGCAATTTTCTATTGACTCTGGTCTGCAGATGGGCTACAGAAGTCACTGTAAACTGTTAGATCAGCAAATTCATCTGTTATGAACTCTCAAAGAACTCCCTACTCTCAAAGAAGTTACAGTCTAGCCAATTAGAGCTAACAGTCAAAGTTTCATTTATTGGCTTGGTGCTTTTTGCTAAATTCTACTGCATAATCTGTATGAATCCACATGGCTTTACTGATCTGTGTAGCATTACCTCTGCTGTTCTAAAAAAACATTATAAAGTTTTATTTATCCTTATTTATTCTTAGTACCTAATTCCTATTGGAATAAGGAATATGTCTGAAGACAACAGCTCGTATTCGCATAAGATGTTCATTGAGGTCACCCCTGGAGAACTGAGGTATTGCAGGATGTACTTCACTCATTGCTTATCACGTTGAGTAAATCCATAAGGCAGGTATTTTTCATAAGTATTCACTAAAAAAATATCCAAAGTAAAGCATGGTTAGCAAAGGGAAAGCCTCTAGGCTGAGGGATCCTTCCCCTCTTGCGTTTACACTTGCTGTGATTCAAAAATGGAGTGACAGAGCTCCACACAACAGATGGACACCCAGTGAACTTTCAAGTTCCAGCAGTTCCAAAATAAGATTTAGAGAGATTTGGAGATCTTGTTATTTCATTTGTGTTTGGACTTAAGAATTGTAACTATTGGACTTTTATTTTTAGAGAAATGAGTTTTCCATGTCATCACGAAATTTAGGGTGTGATAGCTTAGGAATAAAAGACCAGATTTGAAAACTGATTGTAAAAATAATGGCATGACAGTGTTTCATTCAACAGAGGTTGCAAAAATGGAGCATTATACTCTCTGAAATCTATGATAATGTGCCATATCATCCAATTACCTGTTCATGCAATTAGAATTTCCCCTTACAATAGATATTGTAAGTAAATCTATCCACTGCTGTGGTTCAGAGTATGTCTACTAATTTCAGTTTGCATATTCCTCTACTGTAGCTGACGAGTATCAGCCAAGCCAGAGGGGTATGAACTAGCATCAGGTGATATTAATCTAAGAATATCTTGTGAATATTCACTCTTCAGAATAAGATGAAATTGCTCTCCTCTGGGCTTCTTTGCCAAGAGTTTTTGAACACTGTGCTACTTGTAGCAAAGAAGGGACCGGATGTAAAATAGAAATGCATAAATAGGAGTATAATTAATACTATTTTGCCTCAAAGCCAAATATTAACATACTAAAACAGTATAAAAAAAATGACATGTAGCTTGTAAATGTTATGGCTTAGCAAGGCACAGTATATGCATATTTCATATGCTTAGGTGAGAGATGTGAACATCAAAGATGCATGTATATTTTAGGTACACAAAAGAGGCAGTGAGAAAACAGCTAGTTGTAAAATAAAACAAGATAAGCACAAGGGACTACAAATACACAGGACATCCTGTGTATTTCAACAAAAAGTTGAAATGTCTAAAGCACTACAAAATAAGTAGTATCGGGAGCAATTGAGTATCCCCTCTTGGGAGGCATAAAGCTAGGTAACATAAAACAGCAGGGATCAAGAAAGGAAATAGAATAGCATGCTGCAATTCTGATTACTGTCAGAGAGCTCCCATGCTCTCATCCTGATCTCATACACCTAAGACAACCAGGAATCGCAAACCATCAATGTAATCTGCATGACATTATCTGTGTGATACCATGTACTCACACCTAATTTAGATTGTGTTTAAGAGGAGTCATTTTCTATATGTAGCGATGTTTAATAATTTTAAGTACTGTTAATTGAAAAGTATAAGAACTAGTCATTAAACAAAATATGTTGTTAATAAATGATTTTTAGAAGTTCAAATCTGGCTGAGCTCTTGGTTCTCTGAACGTACCATGGTGTTCTGCAATTTCTTAACTTATATTCATGCATTTGTGTGTTCACGTGGCTGTATTTGTATAAATACATTTATAAACACAGTCACATGGTGCATGTACCTGTTCACCCATCAAGGTGGATGTCCCAGTTTGATTAAGCAGATATTATAGGAGACTGTACAGTACCTTGGCAAAAATCAAACTCAAAATCTCCACAACCTATTGAAGATGCTAATAGGTTGTCTTATAAAGGACAACTCCCAGCTGTCTCTATAACCCTAAATGCAGCCCACTTGATTTCATGGCCTTGCATGGGCCAAGTTATCTCAGGCAGCCTGTTTCAAGCAATCCTCATTCATTGTTGGTAGCTCTTCTCTTCAGAATCCTACATTAAGCTCATGAATCTGGGAGACCATAAGAGTGATTGGAAGATGAAATCAGTCAATACCACTTCCTTATCTGTTAATGAACTATTACTGCATCCAATATTTCTTAGGTATGTTATAAAAGCAGAAGATGAACTGTTCTGAACTTGCAAATGAACATTACAAAACATATGCAAATATGAGAGTACTAATTTTATAGTTACTTGAGTCTCCAAGAAAGTCTGCAGGTGCAGCACCGAATTTGGAGGTTCAGGAACTGCAGATTCATGAGCTTACATGCAGTGAGATTCTGGAGTACCTTTAACTGACTTACATAATAAAGACTTCTCTGTGAAAATGCATTTGAGCTGAAGTAGTGAATTCCCACACTGGAATAGATAGTCCTTTCACCTTTCCTTTAGTCTTGTGGCTGCGACTTCTCTTTTTGACTTTTGCTTCAGTCTGACTCAGTTTGCTAAAATAATTTAATTTTGCCAGATGAGAAGAAACAAATAGTTATATAGCTGATATTTATAGTAAGGGAAGAAACTGACCTCTTTTAGTTGTACTGATCTATTAGATCAACAGAAATGCAATAAGCAACTTTGTCTTTAGTACCCCAAGTTGCATCTATAGGCTGTGTGCAGCCAAACAGGAAAATTCCACCATGTAACAAAACAAGTTTTAAGTAATTAGTTTTATACACAAATGTTTGTAAATGTCATTATTTCAGCCATGTTAGCTCTTCTTGAATGGTTAGTCAACTGTTTAGAAAGGCTGTAACTTAAATGAGACGTAGAAGGCTTTTAAGTGCCACATTTTGCAGCATGTCTGTAAGTACTGCAGCTACAATCTAAAAATACTCATTGTATTGTAAACACCACTGCATCATTTGTTAAAACATGAATTAATGAAGTCCATAGATTTTTCCACTGCATTAGGCAATACTTGACTATACCAGAGAGAACTCTACTGAGAATTCTGCAGCAATCATTTATGTTTTTTCAATAGCAGCTTTACCTCCCTCTTCTGTTCTTTGTTGTGGAAGTTGGTATTTTTCAATGTCAGCACCCTCCCCTAAAGTCAAATCCACGCCCTCTGGTTTTGCTTCTGTTTGAACTTTGTGGAATGGTCTTTTGAGTGTATATATTAATTGCATTAATTCTGCCTTGTACTTTGTCATCTACATAAAAATGATAATGATGCAGTTCTCTACACAATTGATAAATTCATGTAGAATTCATGACCAAAATAGCCAAAGCATTATCTTTTCATTCCAGTAGAAGACTAAGCACCCACTCAGCTGAGTGTCTTCAGCGGGCATTCAGCTTCTCTGGGCAACCGGTCCAGTGCCTTACCACCTTCTCAGCGAAAAATTTTCCCCTAAAATCTGATCTAAATCTCTCCTCTTTCACTTTAAAAGCCATTCCCCGTTGTTCTGTCACTATTTATCCATGCAAAAACCTCAGTCCCTCTCCTGTTCATAAGCTCCCTTTAAGTACTGGAAAGCTGCAGTGTTTTCCTGGAGTTTTTTTCTCCTGCTGGCTGAACAAGCCCCCTCACTCAGCTTGATGTTATGTACAAACTTGCTGAGGGTCACTCAGTTTCACTGTCTGTGTCACTGATAAAGGTGCTGAAGAGCACTAGTCCCAAGATGGACTCTTGGGGACACCAGTCGTGGCCAGCCACCCAGACCTAGAGTCACTGACCACAACACTCTGACTGTGACCATCCTACCAACTCTTTGTCCTTGAAACTCTTATCTGCCTAACTTAGAGATAAGGATGTGGTGCAGGATCCTGTCAAAGGCCCAGTCAAATCCTAGGTAGATGATGTCACCTTTCTTTTGCAACTCCATCATAGTGGACTGCCAGTTTTGTCAGGCACAATCTGCCCTGTGTGCAGCCATGCCAGGTCTCAGATCACCTCATTCTTCATGTGCCATAACATAGCTTCTACGAGGATCTGCTCCATCATCTTCCCAGGCACAGGTGTGAGGCTCATTGGCCTGTAGTTCCTCAATCTTCATGTCACCCTTTCCTAAAAATGAAAACATTGTTTCCCTTTTTCCAGAGTTCCAGGCTTAGCAACATCAGCCAGTTCTTTCAGGGCCCTGGAGGTTTTTCTTACTGGTCTCTCTGACACATTGCTTAAGGCACAAAGGGTTTTTTTTTTTTCTCCCATCTGTAAAATCTGGACTAGCTGTATATACATACAGGTAGGCATGTTTTAGGCATTAAGACAGATAGTGAAACCCTCAGAAATGCATTTAACCCCACCTTCTATCATTTGCAGCTGGTACATGGGAATGCAGAACTGAATAAAGCTCTGCCCAGTTTCTACACATCTGTGCAAATTGATGTGCTTTCACTTTCATATCACTACAAAAATGCGATACCATAATAAAACTTGTATTTTTCATATGGGTTCCAAAATTTGGTTAGATTCCCTTGTTCCTCGTTTCAGAGTTTTATGAGTACTGTGAGCTGTTAAGTCAAACGTTACCAACAAACTCTGTGCATTGTGGAACTATTTTATAAGGATGTAATATTTGTGAAGTGAATCTCTAGTGACACATTTGAAAATACAAGCTGGAATTACTACTGTAACTTCACACTTAAAATAATTTATATAACATAAAATTATTTGTTTTTCCTATGGAAGGTATATCTGGGAAAAACTAATAAATAATAAAAAGTTGTGACTGGATTGAGCAACAAAGTTTTAATGGTCTACTGCACAGATGAAGATCAGAACAACTAACTGCACTGCTCTTGCTAAAGAATGCCCAGGTTTTCTCCCTAAGGTGGTTAAATAACAAATCGCACTTAACTATTTAGAAGATTCTGCCATCTAGTGATTGGACTTGCTGTTTGAACATTCTGCGTGTCCCTTCAGCTGACATTGATGGTTGGACTTATGATGATGATCTTAGTGTTTTTTTCTAACCTTAATTAATCCGTTATTCTATGATCCTAAGACATCCTCTACACCTGTGAGCAGCTCATTCTGATGTTAACTTCATAAACATAATTGCTTTTCCTAGTTGGAAATCGTTTAATGTCTATCCAGCTTTTATCTGCTATGATTATTGATAGAAAGTCAAATTCAGAATATTTTATATGTTTATTTATTTCCTGAGTAATAATCTCTGGGAATGTAAGCAGTGGCTCTCTGCTGCACCTTTAACCTGTCTTGTTCTTATTATGATTTAAAATGCTTCTTTACAAGGATAGCTCTTGACAAACAGGTAGCAATATTAGACTACTAACATAACTGTAGTGTGTTATTCTTTCCCCTATTATGTGTTCAAGTAAGAAAGTACATAACATACTCTTTTGGATGACCATCCACTCTCCATTTACAGCATTTTTTTTCCCCCCATTTACAGCATATTACATAACAAGTTCTGTTGTCCAACTTTCAAACATTTCTAAAAAAATAATTTTCACCTCTGATTTTTTTTTTTTAATGTTTTAGGCTCAAAAATCAATAACATCAGCACCAGATTTGTGTCTTTTGATGATAGATTGGGAGATGAAGCAATTCTCTTCTTACAGATATTTCTTGCTTTGCTGTTGTGGCCCCTAAGAAAAAAATGACTTTGATCCATATTTTCTGCTAAATGAAGACGCCTAACAGACTGGACCCACCTTTTGTAATTTGTAGATTAAAACAGATCAGAAAAAGTACTCCTGTTCTTTTTTATTTGACAGCTGTATTTACAATTGTTATTATTATAAAAATTACTTTAAAGAAGTCTTGACAACTCTGTCTTGATTTTCTAAGTGCTAAAATGGACTCTTGGAAATGATGTCTCACTTACTGCAATCAGTGTTACGTCTGTTTTATGACAGATGAACAGCTGTAGACAATAGGAATGCACAGAGAAGCAGCATCTATTTTAAACCAAACCTCACCTGATTTCTTAAGACAGTGTGATGATGTCTGGCTATTGCACTGTTGTTTTTCCTAAAGCAAAAAGTGAGGATGCAGAGCAAGCTTGATCCAGTGATTTTAGGTCTACTGAATGTGGGCTGCCTTGCTCACTCCTCATTTTTCAGCAGGATTTTCCTGGCTTCTTGGCTGTTTCAGTGACAACATTTCTTCCTCCAACTCCTTTGCTGTGTATTCTGCCCTAATACTGGATTTAGATGAGTGCCCTTCTGTGCTGTGTGACACATGTAACTATTAGGGCAGGGGTGTCCAACCTTTTGTCTTACCTGGGCCACACTGTGTGAAAAGGAATTGTCTAGGGCTGCATATATGAAGGCTGCTCCAAAAGTAATGCTGCCTAATTATCTCCATGGAAACTACAGTAAATATGAAAAGCACAATATTGCAACTTAATGGAGCAGACTCTCGGCCACAAAGCACTTCTCAGCATAGTCACCCTCATTTGTTGTGCATTTTCACCAACAACAAACAAGAGCCTGTGTGCTGCACTCAGAAAAATCTGCACCAGCAGATGTGTCCAGCTGTTGCCACTGCTGAAATGCACCACACATGTTGTATAATCAATGAATATTAAGATGTTATAATTACAAAATAAACAAGAGAGTTTGGCAAAGCAGATAATGATAACAGAAAGAGAATAGACAGAAAGCTTACCCCTATCCTGGGCTCACTTACAAAACTACAGCAGAGCAGATCTCCAGAAAAGATGCTTCCCTACTGGTAGCCAGCTCTTAAATAGGTCTAGGAGGGGTTGAGCCAGGCAGCACAGGTGAATTACCTTCACCTGTGCTCCTGTGGCTGACTCATTGCTCACCTCAGGTGATCGATCAGAGGTTCAGTCCATGACTCAGCAGTTCCCATACACGTGTCTTTACTGTGTTCTCATCTGCTGTTTGATTCCCATCAACGTTCAGCAACTATTGATACTTGTCAGATGGGGTCACTTTTTCTGCTTGGAGGAATTCAGTGTCATGAATTTTCTTCATATGCAATTCCATGTCAGATGCTTTTCTGTCAGAACTGCCCCTCTGCTGCCATTTATCACACAGCAACAACATGGAACAGGATATTGGTGAGAAAGTGCCATCCCACCTGTATCCACCTCTGATATTGTGGGCCAACATCATAAAATTGGAGACATTACTTTTGGATCAGCCACCATCTAATATATACTTCATCTATATAAGTAATAATACTTATTTTAATTTTTAATGTTTGTTATCAAAACATAAAAATGAGAACAGCAAGACCATCAAACTGGTGGATTATGTGGCCCGATTTCTGTGACACTAACACATCAGGCTGGTTTGGTGGCAGTGAATGCAATTCATAGTGAGTTCTCAAGGGATCTCATCAGAGATTTTTGATGAAATTTTACCCTTCCTGTACTTCATCCTTGACGATAATTGTTCACAAATGTGCATATTGCCAAAAGCAATGGCATGACTAAAGCGTGACTGTGAAGTGGGGGATGGACATGCCTGTCTTAGGGCTTTGCTCTTGTTGATGTGAGATGTTGACTGAGAACTGTCAAAATAATAAAGTGCCCTTGAAAGAAGCAGGAATCATATTTGTTTTTAGCCTGTGAAACTAAACAAGCATACTGAAATGAGGCAAGTATTTTAATCGCAGACTTTTACTGCAAGGAAAGTCAAAAGAAAGCACTCTGAATTAGAAATATGCGGTAGTTTCTGGGGAAGAGTGCATGTGGCATTATTGTTTGATTTTCCAAGAGTTGACCCCATCCTCTGAAATCTCTCATTGTGACTACTTCAAATGTGAAATGGTTTGCAAACAGCAGTGGTGATGCACCGCGTGGTTTAATGGTATTATTAAGACTGTTATTTCAGAAAATGAACGCTTGGGAGGAATAAAGTCTCTCATCTGGGTCCCAGGGGTGATGAAATTGAGACTGGCATGGGTAAAATAACCCATAAAAGGCAATGGCAACACAGCACAACTGCAGTACCTTGAGAGGGGCCCACTGAAGAGCTTCTTAGCAATGGTAGTGCAAATGTCTCCATACCATAATATACAGCATCTGAGGAAAGCCAGACAAAACAAAATAAACCTAAATAATGCTAGGGCATAAAGCTGATATATATAGCACTGCAAACAGAAACAGCATCAGTAGCATGATTTGTGTGAAACTCTCTAGCACTGAACAATGTATTGTTAACATAATTTACGAGCAGACTGTCAGGCTACTCATATCTTATTTGCTTAAAGGTCATTTTTTGCATACATGCATCATTACAGGTGGGTATTCATGTTGCTTGTAATAATAAAAGCGCACTCTTTCCGTGATATTTTTGGGTTTCTCCTCCGGTATTGGTATTTGTTCAATGAAAAGTACTTGCTAATCCTGAAACAGTATTCACAGTGAACGTACACATGCATACGATTTGTTCCAAATCCTTTATCAAAAATCAATCCTTCTTCTTCCTACTTGAGTTTTAGATTGCAAACATGACAGGGATTACTCAGTCAGAAGTATTTGAGCTTGTTCATATACAGAGATATTTGTTCAGCTTGCTTAGGTGTTCAGGTTGATTCAGTGATGGTCGTTATTTTTCTCAGCCCTTATAAAGACTTATACAATTGTGGAAAATAAAGTGTTGAAAATAGCTCTTTATAGTCATGGCTTAATGATTATGGCTGACTGTCAAATCAACAGAGAAATGTTTAATAGGTACAGGTCAATTGAGTGAGACTGAGTTTTTTAAAAGCAATACTAATTAGTAAGCTGTCAGCTCTTTTCGAGTACAGATCAGCCAATATTCCTTAACCTACTCATCCCTTCTGTCTTTTTTCCCAGCCATATTTGTACCCTCTAGACCAGTCAACAGTATTGCCACTGGTAGCAAGAAGTCACAGCTTTTTTACTGATTTTGTTAAGATTCCAGACTGAACATTGTCAGGATTTTTCTTTTCCTTTTTCTTCCTGTCTTTCCCTTTCCTTTTTTTTTTTTTTTTTTTTCTTTTTCTTTTTTTTTTTCTCTTTTCCTCTTTTTCATTTTCCTTATTATTTTTATATTTTCTTAATTCTGTTTCTCTTTCTCTTTTTTGTCTTTACTTTTTTCCTTTCCTTTCTTCCTCCTTCTCTCCTTCTTTCTTTGCACTAATACTAATTCCTGCTAGATTTCACTTGTAGCAGGAATATAAGCTGACTTTCATTTTCATCTATGGACAAGATTTTAAAACATTTGCACTTCAACTTCAGACCTTCTGCTTCAGTAATACCAAGAAAGCTATAGCAAGAAGAATTAGAGACAGATATTTCAGCAGCCTGACAATATATGTTATTTAGTAGAATTTGAGAGAATTTTTATATTCTTTCACAGCAGATTTACTCTCACTCTTTAACTTAGAATGTAATTTGTGTTGAGTTCCTTGATATAACTGAAAAATGAAGCAGTGAATGAGGTGTTTGTGCTGTAAGAGTCAAAATGTCAGGCGTTTGTTTCCAACATAATTGATATGTTCTATCACAAGTGTATTCCAAAGACAGTTTACATGTTCCACATACCTTATAGTGTAAACAGCGTGGGATATGTCAAAATGAGAATTGGGAGAGCTGAAAAGTGTTAGCATGAAATACAGGATTTTTTACTATGCAATTTGATATAGAATATACATTCCAGGGAAAGGTACATTGTTTTGTACACTAATGGTACACTGAAAAATATTAAGTAACTATGGCAAAGAAGAGAGGGAGAGTTTCAGACATAAAGTAAGAAGCTGTTTATTAACCAGCATGAAACAGTGAGTGCTGTCAGAAATGACTGACATTCTTTGCCACATGCCATTAACACACCAAGACTCTGCCACTCTGGGATCACAACAGAAATCTCAGAAGAATAAACGCTCTTCTGGAAGCAGAGTGGGAGGATAATTAATAAAATTACTGGAAGAGCAAACAGTTGGAGGGTAGTATTGCTAAATGAGAATCTGACACTACGGGGTTGTCAGTTTTTTTTTTTCATGGAAAACAGTAATCCTAATTATACACTCCTATTTTTATTCCCTACTCAGTTAAAAGTACAATGAAATATTCTTGATTCAGATTATGGTGGGAGGAATTTAGGTAATTGTAAATATCCTGCAAAGCATAATAAATGATTTGAGATGGATATTGTAGAAGATAAATTAAATATGGAGGTGAAGAGCTGGAGATCCCAAGTTTTTTTGCTATCACTCATGTGCAAAGCTATTTCAGAGTCAGTATGTAGGTTGAAAAATAATGGTTTTGCATGATGTTTTTAATGGGCTTAGCTGCTGTTTTAGTTTTTTTCATACTGACTCTTTGGTATAAGATCTCAGATACTGGCAATATTGCAAAAGTGTGATGTCTCTGAAATAGGTGCTATTGACTTGAGGGAAAAGAACAAAAGAAAACAGAACAATTGAAAGAAATTCTCATTTCTTAGAGATAAGTGTTTTTTTTCCCCCCAAAATTAGAAAGGCTCTACAATATTTCTATAAAGCTTGATGTATCTCTGTTTTATTTGCTTGAATTTTCTACTTGACATGCCTATTAAGTCTCTGTTTGCAGTGTTAATTTCACTGTTGTGATACCTTGTCTCTGAATATATAATCTAGAAAGCAGCAACAAAGATAGTTCATTTAGTAGAAGTGATAGTAGACTCACAAATGTGTACGTTTTAGGTCAGATTGTTTCTCTAAGGAAATGTATAACATTTTATCTGAAGTATAATAATGCTTAATGCTCATAACAGCTATGTTCATGTGTGCAACTATATGTACACATAGAAAATGCTGGAAATTAGGCTGTATTTAAGCTACGTGTTATGTCAAAGAAAACTTGGGATCCTGGATAGGATTGGGATCCTGGATAGGATTCTATTATAAAACCTTTTAATGTAGAGCTTACCTTTAATGTAAATTTAGCTTGCTGGTAATTTAAAATACCAAGAGATTGACAGGCAAAATATTTCATACCTGTGTATGTGTAAAATAAAGTGTTCTCAGACCAGCTGGAAATTAGATGTATGTTTGCAAGAGGGCATCACTTTAAGATAATATATGCAAATTGTATTAACTTAATCTTTAGGTGAGTTTTACAGCTGTCTCAATCGTATCATAATCCAATGTCAAGTAGGAAGAAAGATGAATTATATCCCACTTCTTTCTTTACTTTCATGACCTCAGATTTTGATATGCATTTCATATTCAGTAAATTTTCAGGTGGAAAATTATCTGTGATGAGGACAGTGTTATCTCAGGAGTGCTTAGAGTATCTTGTATTGGCAGCTCACCACAGGAGTTCTCAGACACATTTTAGCGAAGCTACCACCATGATTTTTTTATATTGCAAACTATTAAAAGACTAGGCTACTAAAAATAATACAATTCAAGCATCTGATTTCAGCCGTAGACACAAATTATGTTCTTAGCAATGTTCAGGAAAGCGATGATGGTGATCTGCTAAGCAGAGGCTGGAGGAATCCATCAGGCTGTCAGATGTAGCATAAGATTATGCATCTGAGAGGAAATAGTGTAGATTATGTTTGGGACTGAAGACGATACAAAAAGGGAGTGCTCTGTAATGTAGAGACAATGACATATAAGTATAAACTGTGATGTATAGTTGGTAGAGTATAAACTTCAAGGACAAGACTATAACAAAGACATCGGACCAGGAAGACTGCAGGCACTTGGAGTATTGTGTT